TCACGCTGGCTATCTGGAGTTCCAGACTTGCCCTCTGCACCACCGCGTGCTCCAATCATAGACGCGTATACCTTGCTCGTAATCCCGCAGACTGCCATGTGCAACTGGATCGGCTTGTCGATCGGGTTCACCATCAGGTAGGACTTCATGCGGGCCGCCGAACCGTTGTCCTGCAAGGTCTTGAAGGTGTCCAAGAGCGTCTCGCCAGTCTTTTCCTCCAGAGGCGCCTTGCTGGGCGACTCTGCAAGCTGGCTGTCGTCCCCTGCGTCGGCGTAGTAGATGTCAAGGTCGCTGGGCTTCTTTGCCATGCCAGATGCTTTGAATGCAGCGTTGATGATGTGGCGCTTCATCACTGTGTACATGCTGATCGTCCTCGCTGGGGTGTTACCATTCCCTGGAACTTGTACCTCTCCCTGCAGCTGGCAGAAGCACAGAATCGACGAGTATGCGTTCAGGTTGTCCTGGGGGACGTTCAGCTTGTGCTTGAGCATCGCGGTGAACTGGATCACATCACTCAGGAAAGACATGTCGTTGCCCCCATCCGATGCGCACGCGCACCCCGCAGAGACCTTCGCCTTCATAGTCGCGCTGTCGGCCATGCTCGCCAGTAAGTTCCTCACCATGGCCTCTGACAGCTTTCGCAACTTGCCCTGCGGAATGCCATCTGGCAGCGCTGGGCACGCCCCGAGGCGTTCAGACTCGAGGTGCGGGATCGCGAGGGCAATGACAGGAACGACGAAGTCGGGATAAGTAGAGCACATCACCTTGCAAATGCAACTGATGTTCTGGATGACCGCGTTCGTGTCCTTCATGTACTCATGCATGTAGTCAGCCTTTGTCCCGAAAGAAGATGCCATCTGATCCCAAACTGAAGTGCCTGCTGATGTCATCGTTGTCTGCAGAAGGTCGTAGGTGTTGATCGTCGCGTCGAGCGCGTTCTGTGAACGCCAGCGGCCAGAGAATACAGCGTTGGCATAGGCATGCCTGCGAGCGTAGAGCGCAAGCGCCCCGCCACAACCGTCACCAGTAGCAGTTACCTTTTCCTTCTGGATTGCCCATCCAGAAAGAATCGTCTCGGTAGACATGAACGCCCGGGGCACCGTAACCACCAAAGTGCTGGCGTTGGTGGCGTTGCCTAGCTCGACGACGTAGTCTTTCGCATCGTCTGGTATATTCGGGTCGAAGTCCACAGCAGAGTCACAACCAGCCTCGAGAGCGATCCAAACCGTCTTGTTTTTCTTGTGGGGATCTTTCTCCATCGCCATCTTGGCACCTTCAAGCAAGCTCGCCCAGCGTAGAACAGTCCATTGATTCTCGCCTGCTGGAATTACCCATGGCCCCTTACGGACCTTGCATATGCCAATCGTCTCAACTGACTTGCACCTGTCCAAGACTGTCGCCATATTGTACCTATGTTTCTGTTTTTGAAGAAGAAAACGAACGCTTAAGGACGCATTAGTCATTAACCGTGTGTGTGTGTCCTTAAGCGTCCGTTTTCTTCGGGGCACCTCCTGTTGGCAGGGTCCCTGGTCATGGTGAACTTGCCCTCGTGCACGAGGGGCAGCCATCGGGGTTGGCGCGCGCGCAGCCTGAACACTAGATTCTCAAGCTCGGGACCCGCAACGTAGCCGACGGAAACCTCGCACGATCGTTCAGGAACAACGTGGACGGGTCTGCAATCTTGGGCTCGGGCCCCTTGGGCGCGAGCGCCACGTCGCCATGGGAGCTGGCAGCTGCCATCGCTGGGAGTAGCCTGGCGGAAGCAAGCGTTCGCAGGACAAAAGAAGGACTGGATATGAGAGAGAATGTGGGCGACGATGGCAGGGGAGGAGAGGGGGAGAAAGAAAGGATCAGAGGACTTGGCAAAGGCAGGGGAATGGAGGGAGGAGGGTGGGAGGATAGGATAAGCGGACAAGAAAGGGCTGACAGGGAACGTCGTGGGAAGGCCACCGCAGGCCACTCATCTCAGGGGTTCCAGGGCCAGCATTCGGAGGACGAGGGCCAAGGTCGAGCAGGGCCGTGAAACTGCCTCCAAGGGTCTCGCCACAAGGGGGGGGATGAAAAAATAATGGCGCGGGGAGACGGGCAAACATTTGCACTGAGAGCTCGCCCCCTGCCGCGAACCACCGGCCGTTGGCTGCCGGCCCCCTGGCCCCTACGGCCTCGGCACCGCGGAGGCCCCGAGAGGCGGGGCGGACGACGGGGATGGGCCGGGAGGGGGAGGCGGGGGGGTGGGGCGGGTGGAATTTTTCGGGGCGCTTCCCCCCACCCCTCCTCCTCCCTTCCCCCTCCCCCCCCCCCGCCACCTCCCCCCCCCCCCCCCCGCGCCCCCCCCCCCCCCCCCCCGCCCCCCTCCCCCCCCCCCCGCCCCCGCCTCCCCGCCCCCCCGCCCCCTCCTGGCGCTTCGAATTTTCCGGCCCGCCCCCCCCCGCACCCCCCCTGGCGCTTCGAATTGTTCGGCCCGCCCCCCCCCCCCCCCCCCCCCCCCCCTCCTCTGGGCCCTTCTCGACCCCTCCCCCCTCTGCCCCCCCCCCCCTCGCCCGCCCGTCCCCCGTTGTTCTGGCGCTCCGAACCCCCCCCCCCCCAGGACCCCCATCCCCCCAGGGTCGCGAGGTCGTCGAACCCCTCCGAACGGCCGCCCCGCAGCTTTCAGGGAGGGGTCGGCAGCGGTGCGCGGCGCCGCAGGGGGTCGGTCTAGAGCGGATCCAAGACTCACGAGACCTTAAAGCATCAAAGGTAGACATCATATTAATCCAACGCGAATCGAAGCTGATATTAGAAAAACTCTGAGCGACCCGATGTGGAGTTTAGAAGAATTCTAAGGCCACTTGGCTGTAATAAGAAACAATATATAAATATCAAGCACCTGAGAAAAAATCAAACATCCACCTCAAGCACCTTAGAACAATTCCAACATCCACCTCAAGACGCTTAGAATTTTCCCAATATCCTCCTCTGTGAGCTTGGTATTTTCAAGGGTCAGACTGCCGTTGCCCTTCTGATCTTGCAGCGTTTGGGGGGGCCCCGCGACGTGGAATTCACTGTTCGGGATGCCGTGCGCCCCCTCCCTCACTCCCTTCCCCTCCATCCACCCCGACCTTCTTCTCCTCGACTCCTCCTCTCATATCCCTCAACGAGCACTCTTGGGCGCAGCGTTTCCTCGTTCCATCGGCATCTTTTCCTCCCTCCCCGCCCCGCCCTGTCCTCCTCCCGCCCTCCTCCCACGCTCCTCCCTCGCAGTCGCCACGTCGAGGTTTTCTTGCACCTGCGGCAGCGCCAACATATCCCATGCGGCGTGCACCAATGGTTCAACCCTGACCCCACAGGGCAATGGATTCACTCGTTCAGACAAATGGGGCAAACGAAAAGGCCCCCCTCTTCGAATGGGGACCCCATCCCAAAAGCACGTGCCACGTTCTCTGCGCACGCGCTGTGCCAGTGCACAACGCATTCGGAACAAATGTATGAATCAAAGTGCTCTACGGGCTGCGCACCGCCGCCACCGACGACCCTGGCATCCATGCCCATGGTGTCTGCGCGCGCACAAAAAAACGCAGGGGGCGTCGCAACTGAAGAGACAGTCGCGAGCAATCGGACCAAAAAAGAGTTCGGCCGCGAAGGCCTTCATAATTTGCAAGCACCAATCAGGCACACGCTCACGCAAGTCCTTGGGCCGCGTAATCCTGACAGGCACGTTCCCGATGATGATGTTGCAGTGGTCCCTGTCGCACTCCCTCTTGAGATGCTCAGTAGCAAACGGCACGTTATACTTGAACCACAGGTGCTCGAGGTCCACCCTTGCTATTTTTGCAGACCTGCCAACGCCCTCCCAATCAACAAAGACAACATCGTAATGAACTTGACCATATTCTACAACGGTTCGCAATTCAACCAACGATACCGTGCCCCGCTCTGGAGCATCTGAAATGTCAGTCCTGAAGCCGTAGTCCTCAGCGAAGTACATCGCGCCCCGAGCAGATGTGCGGCTTGCCTCGCACGCGCCCCTCACGTTGCGGAGAAGCTCAGCTCGGTGGTCGCCAGAGATGGCGTCAAAGACGTCGAGTTTATCAGGCCCTGCATGGTTATGTTGGCCAGGCTGTCGATCTCCAGCGTCGCCCTCAACGTCGTATCCTTGCCGTCGCTGTCGAGGCCCTCGTTGGCGCCCTCGAGGTCCTCGCGCTCCTCCTCCATGGCGTCCTGGGCAATCAATCGTTCAAGCTCCTCAGAAAAGCCGTCGTCGTCCTCAAGCATGTCAGGCAAACCACCCTCGGCGTCGACAGTGTGTGTATTCTTTTTCTTGGGGCCGTTGTAGGCCCGCTTGAACAGCGGCGTCACTTGGGCAGTGTCAGCGATCACCGAGGCGGCCTTCAACGACGTCCACGACAACTTGTACTTGACCAGATGCAAGCGAGGACGCTGCTCCCGCTCAGCTGGAAGAGGGTGAAATGCATGTAGGGCCTCACCAACCAGAGCGCACGCGGTACGTTTGACAATTGACACGTGCAAGTGAAAATGGCATAGCTCGTCCACGTGGCCAGTTGCGCAATACATCGTCTTGTAGTGCGAAGCCACCGCCAAGAATACAACGCTGCGATCTAAAGCAAGTGCGCGTGTATCAGTTGCGTCTGGGCCGACAATCACATGCGCATACCTGGCTCCCAAGTCAGTCACATCAAATCTGCTATGAGATATCGGAAGTGCTTCTCTGGCATTGTCGGGCAGGTCACCGACGGAGTGCGTGGCGGACGTATTGCTCGATCCAATCAGAGGGACAGCATCAGGATGAGGCCGTGCGTTGGTATCGCGCTCCTTGTCTGTGAGGGGGCTGAAGCGAAACATGTTCGCATCTGTCTTTGAGAACTCGACGACCTGCTTGCGCGCTGCGACGGCCTCGTCGGTGGGAGTCCGTTCGCCAACTCTGTTCTTGGGGCGATCCGATGTCAGTCTCACGTTAGCGCGTGGAGCCCGTTCGCACATATTCCCCAACGTACTGTTCCAGCCTTCGATCTCCTGCGCCTCGCCATTGAATAACGCGCGCCAGCCTGAAAGAGATATCCATGCCATTCTCCTGCACTTACCAGTGCCCTGCATGATGGCGAAATCTTCATAGAACATGGCACGTAACTTGAAGCTGAAGGAGTTGTACACGCCATCCTGCCACTCCAAGTTCTCCTTGGATGCAGTCATTAACCGATGGGCTAAGGCTTCACGAGGAGCCGAGGCCTCCTCAGGGTCCGCCTCCAAGACGTTGAGAAAGTCGAGTGGGAACCTCTGCGTGGGGTCGTACATCCGTCGCTCCCAATCAAGAGCGCCACGCACCACCAAGGTCACGATCAAGCGCAATGCCTTCGAGGAGGCCCGAACGCCAAACGAAACCAGACCACCGAAAACGAACCGAAAACTCAAAACCAATTGGTGTATGTTCGTAGTTGTGAAGTTTCTTTTGGCGTTGCGAACCTCCTCGGCATGTTCTGGTACATCGCCAGCTCGAATCAGACTCCAGGCGCCGACCCAGTGCGTCAGCATGGCGTCGTCGTCCAGGAGGGCGTTGAAATCGTGTAAGATAACCTTGGCCTTGCCCGACACGAACTTAGAAACGAAGGTTGGACCCGTGTAGGCGGTCCCTTGCTTTGACGCTTCCGGTCGGTGTTCTCGCTCAATCTTGCTCTCCTGATGCGCCCAACGCTGGAAATGGGCAAGGGGCCCCTTCGCGACGAGGTCGATCTCAGCTGTCCCCAAAAACAACTTGTCGCTCAACAAGGCAACCGTGGTCTGGCGGTAGTTTCGGCGTTTCTCGTACCACTCAGCGTCCTCACCGTCCAGCTTTTTCGTATTCTTCTTTGTCTTGTCTGCGTCTGTGTCGTCGAACTTCGGCCACGTGCGTCTGACAGCGGGTCCAAGCACATGTCGACCATTCCTCAAGTGCATCTCGATGTCGTCAACGGGGCCCCACCGCGTCGCGATAACCCGATGAATGGTGTTGCCAACAGGTTCTTTGACAACCTTGGGTGGGAACTTGAGCTCGGCAGCTGCTTTTCTGACTTTCCGTGGGACGCCTGCGCCTCTCAGAGTGTTCGCGACAACCTTCAAACCAGAAAGAAACGAAGAAGATCCCCAGGGCGTATGCCATTCCCAATTGTTCGTGATATCCACCATGCTCTGCTGGATCAGCGCGTTCTGATGGAAGCGGCAAACATAACTAGATATCATCACTCAACGGGCGTTAGAAAGAGCTGCGACTGCAGCTCGAACGAGGCCTACACAGTCAGGTCCGCTATCTAAGCAAAACTGATAACTCCGAGAGCTGAGTCCATCTCTGCATGCGGCCCCCATCCACGTCGGAAGCCCCGCAGTGCGAAATTGTCGCGTCACCAAGTCTGTGGTTTCTTTTACACCGCCCGTCCGAACTGTCTGCAAGTCCAGCACTTCCCGAAATAATGTCAGCTTGAGTTCGTCACTGTCGAAGTTGGTGTCGCTGCTGATGTCACTCAACGCCTCTGGGCATGTTGCAATGTAACTGGCTACACCTGTCCACACTTTTGCCTCATTGGCTGCCTCTTGGTTCGTGGCGTCGCCCCTGAACATGATGAACTCGAAGCTGAACAACTTACCCCCAATCAGCGCCACCATATCCCCACTGTCCAGAGAAGCCGCCCTCGCGTAGTTGATGCATATATCATTCGATGTCGCGTGCAAGTGATTGACCGAATCATAGAATGATTTGACGACCACGGTCCTGGTAATGGACAGGTTATGCTCGAAGCGGGTGACCATGTTCTTGGCACCGTCTGTGGAGGACCCCTGCCACTCCTCGCCAGCACACATGGCCACGACAGGTCGTGCGCTGCTGCAGCCGTGAGACCTCTTGTACGCCAAATGGTAGCCGCCCCATATGCTGACGCAGCGCTTGCCTGGTCTGAAGTTCGTTTTCTGCACAAGTGAACGGTGGGTGTCGTGTAGGATCCGAGATTTTTTTGTGTGTAGCCCCAGGCGCTGCTCCGTCGTCGCCAGCCGTCGTTTCACCTGCTTGAGTTCGGACTGCAAGAGTGTTAGTTCGTTGTCTCGCTCCACCATCTGCACTGCCAAATCGTACTTGGGCATCTCGTAGTAGACAGAGACGCTCGGGCGCTGGACCACGTCGAAGCCGCCTTGGATCTCCGCTGCGAGCGCCAGCGCATCCTTGACCTCGTTACCGTCGGGCGCCTGGATAACTGGGACGTCAATCGATTCTGCCAGCTTCTCAAAAACTCCTGCCAGCGTGGCCTCCGACACAACAGCGGCGCCCAGGAACGAGTTGACCAACGAGTGAAAGCATTCGAACCTGATGCCGTGATTATCCGCACGCATGCCGAGGCTGGAGATCGTGTCCTTTATCGTTTTGGGTTGCACGTCCAGACGCAAGGCGCCCAACATATCTCTGATGGCTCGAGCGCTCACAGTACCTGTCGCCGCACTCGTTCGGGTGACATGCTTGCTGGTGCTCAGGTGCTGAAAATGCTGAGTGGCGATCGAACTCTCAGCCCGAAGCATTGTCGTGCCGAAGCAAGCTTTGAGCCCAAATGGCTGCGCGGGCGACCCTTGGACCCTGGGACCCTTGCTGCTAAGCATTCCCTTATCGTCCCATCTTGGCGTTTTGGAGGCGTTGGGTAAGGATGCCTTCGGGAATCCAGGGTCTCGCGACCGATATGCAGCTTGAAAAAAACTCATCCCCCTCCGCTCCCGTCTTCTCCTCCACCTCCCCACGCTGTACTCCGAGACGCTATGGCCAGAGGCCCAAAAACTCAGGAACGGCGCTCTCGCCCGAGGCGCCCTCACAATTCTTTCAAGCTGGCTTGCCAGTGGGCGCGTTAGCTCGCATGGCGGCCACGGCGGCGCGGTGCGCATTGGCTCTTGGGCCTTGGGGAGGGGACGTACGAGAACGATAAAGGAAAAGAGGGCGCCTTCAAGGCTTCCTCTTTTCCTTTGTCGTTCTCGTGCGTCGTTGTCATCATCGCCGTTCTCATCGTCGCCGTCGTCGCCGTCGCCATCGTCGCCGCCGCCCCCCTTCCGAAAGCAGCCAGACAGGCGCCCCGCCTCGGGAGGGGGCCGCCCCGCGGCGGACGCGCGCGGCCGGCGCAAAGCGCTGCGGCCCGCGAAGGAAGAGGAGGGGGAGGAGGATGTCAATGCGCAGCGCACTTGTACATCCTGCAACATTCCTCACACTGCTCTGCCGCCTACATAATCTGTCACTCTCCTTCGTCCCCCTCCTCTTCCTCCTCCTCCCTCCTCCTCCCTCCTACTCCTCCTTCCTCCTCCTCCCTCCTCCTTCTCCTCCTCTTCCTCCCTCCTCCTCGTCCTTTTCCTCGTCCTCCACCTCCTCCGCCGCCTCGTCCTCCTCCACCGCCTCCTCCACCACCTCTAACTGGCCGAAACATATGAGAACACATATAAAAGGAACCTATTAATACGAAAGACGACGACCCGACTTTTCTTTTGGAAGCTGGAACTTACGAAACCTCTCGATGAAGACACCCCATACTACACGTTGTGACAGCCAATGCCAACGCCTTCGGCGCCCTGATGAGGTGCCTTACCACAGCGCCTGCAGATGCTATGCTAGTGCATGAGACTCATGCCAGCGAGGTCAAGCTCCCCGAAGTGCAAGCTGACGCACTGGACCTCGGCTGGCAAGGACAGTGGCTAGGCGCGCCCCCAGCGCAAGATGGCGGCGTGGAAAGAGGGGTCGCGGTGCTAGCGCGCACAAGCATACAGGTGACGCGCGCGCCGTTCTTAGAGAGCGGATGCATTGCACCAGGTCGGGCGGCAGCAGTTCTTGCACATGCGGGGAATCCAGGGGGGATGATAGACATCTCTGTCTACCCTGTCGCAGTGGGAGGCCGTTCTCCTCCACGCTTGCCCATCATCTGGGAAGTTTGCAAGTACGTCAAGCAGGTGGCCACGGCAGGGTGCCCCTGGGTGGCCCCAGGAGATTTCAACATGCCACCTGAGGGGTTGTTAGAACATGATTTGATCCACCTGAGCAACGGGGCCTGCTGCGCCCCTGCGCAGCCCACCTGCCTGCAGTCGCCACCTGGTCGGATTCTGGACTATGGCGCCATGCGAAGATCGGTGGTTCAGGCGGCCGAATATACGGTAGAGGTGCATGTGGATTCAAGGCTTTGGCCGCATCAGCCCGCCCGCCTCCCCCCACCCAGAGGTCGGTTGCCGCTGAACCGACGCGTCTTGGAGCAGCCGAGAGCCCCCCCTCGAGATGCCACACCGGTTTGCGCGAGTCCGCGTGCTGTTTGCGTTCCCGCCCAAGTCAGCGGTGGGCCAAACTGGCAGCATCTCTCGGACGTTGGGCTGATGACTATTGTTCTCTGCATGCGAGAATCACCCGGAGTTGTCCCCTGAAAGGTTGGTGACAATTTTGGTTAGACTGTCGAAGCCAGATAGAGGTGCGAGACTTATTGGTACGCTGTATGCCCAGGCCCGCATCCGGGGTCGAGCGAGACGACCTATCTCGGCATCTTGGATTCAGGAGCACCGCGGCGCACACAGCTGGGGCTCTGGCCCAGGCCGATGCTCATCAGCGACGGCATTCTCTTTGAGCCTGGACAGCGAAGTCGACGTGGCCCTGGGCAACAAGACAGTAAGTATGATGGTGGATATGTGAAAATGCTTGAAAGGGGGGAGGCGATGGCAGTGCAGTGCTCGCCGCGCCTGGCATGGATGCCGGTGCAAGCGTGCAGGCAGCCGAGAACCCTACGCGCATATGATAGTGCATCGGTGTTCTTTCAATCTGAACAGGGAATAGTAGCTGGGTGCTGCTCACATGCTACTACAGTATTGGAAGTCCTGCTTCACAGGTCGATGCGTCGTCTATCAGCGATGTGTCCTACTGTCGCCCCACGGCAGCTGGTTGATGATATCTCTTTGCGCCGGGCTGGACCAGCACATTTTTGTGCAGAGGAGGTCGGTCTGGCGGCAGATGAGATCCTAGCCGCTCTCGGAGATCTCCACCTACCAGTGCAGACCAATAAGTTTGGCGTTATAGCCTCGGGCGCGCACGCAGAGGAGGCGGTGAGGTGCATTGTGCAGAGGCGGTCCATCAAGCGGCATCGATGGATGAGGAGCTTAGGGCACGAGTTGACCAGTGTACAACCTCGCCGACAGCAGCAAACTCATCGGGCTGCTGCTTTACGTCTACGCGTGCGAAGGTTCCAAATATTTTAAGGGGCTGCAGGTATTCGACAGATGGCTCGGATACAAACTACTGAGCTCGCACTGTCGGCTCTACATGGAGCATCGGTGGTGGGCGTCGCTGAACATGCGCTGAGGCAGGTGCGCACATTGGTTGGGGTGCTAGCAGGTGCCAAGGCAGCGGCTTCTTTGACCACTGCTATGGTTATGCAGCAGAACCCACTTTACGATCCTATATTCAAAGCCGCGCTAGAGTTGCCGTACATATACGCTTGTATGTTGTGGGACGCGAAGCTGTCTCTCACACGGATACAGAGTGCTTGGCAGGTCATGAAGAATAGAATGGGCAAAGGCGAACGATGGTCTAAAGTCGCGGGCCCTCTTTCCGCCCTTTGGATGACTCTACGTCGAGTGGTTTGGACAATGTCTTCGGCTTATCATCTCGTCACTCATGAGGGCCGGCAAATTTCTCTCATTCAATCAGCGCCTCGAGATGTCTGAGATCTGTTAGAGGCGGGGGTGCAGCGCTGGCAGCTGCGCAAGCTGGAGCAGCCTATACCCGACAGAACGGATGAACATATTTGGCACAGAGGGCTGGGCCCCGCTGGCCGCCCCTCCAAGGCCCGTTTTGGAAGCCTCCCTGGGATTCAATCCGTTCCGAGGGCCGCCCGGCACGCGGGATTGCAAGCTGTTTCGGCCTCGCCTGCGGTCACTCGCATCGTCAGTGATCGCCTTTCGTTTGTGCAGGAGGGCGCCCGTTGGGGCAGGGGCGAGGCTTCGGCCTTTGCTAGACATGCTGAGATTCGGCGTGCCATTGCAGCGGATGTGGCCAGGCAAGGCCGAGCCCCACCCAGTTTCACTTTGAGGCGGCGGCTTTTCTTGGGGTGGGGGGCCAGGCGTGGCAGGGCAATGCTCGGGCTGACTTTTTCGCCACCGTAGCTCTGCGCGTTGGCCAGCTCGCCTCTTCCCCCCTCGGAACAAAACGCGGCAACGACCCGCCGGCCTCCTCCTTATTTTCACTGGCCAGCATGCCCAAGCTGGCGTCTAGGCGATCGGCTGCTGCCACCTGGCTGACTATGCTCAGGCAAGTCCTCTAGCATGCGCGAGGCTGCCAGCGCGGTCGCCGTCGCAAGCCCCACGCCCAGCCTGGCCTCCGCAGCACGGGACGCAGGGTTGCGCGCCAGCTTGGCCTGCTGGTCGCTGCGTCGGATCGCTTGCGCCTTTGTCCCAGGTGTTGTTCGCTGCTGCTGCTTTGGGCGGCGCCTCTCGTAGATCGACACACATGAGCACGAATAACGCGGCAGAACACACATAATACACAGGAACACGGCAGACCACACAGGAGCACGGCAGAACACGCAGGTGCACATCATAATATTCAGAACACACAGGAGCACGGCAGAAAAGACAGGAGCACGGCAGAACACGCAGGATCACGGCAGAACACAGGAGCAGGAGTCCGTAGCCATTTTGGCTCAAGGCCATGGAGCACCCGACGACCGCAAGTCGTCCGCGGCGTTCCGAGCGCGAGGGTCTCCTCGCTTTGGGCCAGTGCACTTCTTTGTTGTGCTCCCTGCACTCGCGGCGCGGAGGCGCGACCTGTCAGCCAGCGCGGCAAGGGCCATGGCGCGCTCCTCGCGGGGTGGCGGCAGCGGCAGCAGGCGCGGCAGGACGTACTGGATGTGCAGCTGCGGTGGGTGGAACTGGGACTGGCGCACCACGTGCCTTGGCTGTGGGCGCGCTGCCCCGCCATGGGCACTGGAAGCAGCAGCAGCCAAGGCCAAGCCCCAGGCTGATAAGGACGGCTGGGTGGATCAGCCGCGCGGGCGCCGCGCCCAGCGGCAGGCCCGCAGTGCTGCAACGAGCGCGGCCATCTCCAAGTCGCAGGCCCTGTCCGCTGCTTGGTCAGACAGACCGTCTGCCTTATCCAGCGGCTCACTATGCGCAGCCAGCCGAGAGTGGAGTTCGTGCCTGCGGACGTGCCTCCGAGAGCCCCTGGGGCCCCTCGAGGCCGCTAGGTTCCCGCTGGCCCCGCCTAATTCGAACCTGAATCAACCAACTGGGGTTAGAAAAAATCAGGCTGGGTCTCGTCATTGCCATGAAGGCCCCGTTAGGCCAACCCGAACCCCCCGAACCCGATTCTTACTTCACCCCGAAGGAGAGATGAGCAACTTCCCAAGGTTACCCTTGCATCCTTCCCCTTTCGGCACATCCGTGGCCGCTCTCGCCGGCCGCGCACCGCTTGCAAAGTGTCGACGTGGCCTTCCCAGGCCTTTGCAGTCCTGAAGGCGCGTTCTTGCCGTGCGGGCTGGCTCTGCTGTGCCCGGCGCGTGGCGCCTGGGCGGCCATCCGGGCGGGTGGTCACTGGGGGTGCGGGCTCTGCGGTTCTGCGTCTGGCCCTGTCGCCCTTGAGCGGCACGCCCGAAAAGAATACGGAAAAATTGGGTACGATGCCAAATAGCACATGCTGTCCCAAACCCACAGCGCCCGCTGTTGGGCAGGCGGCATTCTGCCTCAAGCGGACGACGCCCGCGGCGAAACCGACACCGAGCCCTGTTCAAAGTGGACAGGAACTGGCGTCGGTCTTCGCACCTGAACATCGTTTAACCGATCCCTATCCCCACTGCAGTGGCTTTGGCCCTATTCGCCGACTTACCCACCCAGGCCTGCTCCGTCGGGATTCGTGGGGCCCATCTCCGCCTAGGAGGAATTGCTTGTGGGGCTGAGTGAGATACCTTTGTCCAGATACGATTAGAGGAGCAAACGCCAGCAGAAACATAACATTTCGACGGTCCGCGCGGATTTCTTGGATCCGCGCTGGGCCTCCCTCCGCGCCAGGGACGTCGCCGGAGGCGCCGCCAGGGGGCCCCAGCGCCGATACGAGAAATCCGAGCAGAGCTCCGAAAGTGTCTTAATGCCGCCTTTTGCTCTTCGAGCCATACTGCGTACCCATGTTTTCCGTACCCATTTCGATCGCACCGACGTGACCGCCGTTCGACCTCCCCGCGGGCGCACTGACCCAGGTCAATGCAAACCAGGGCCAGTCAAACTTTGCAGGCTCCTGATCCTGCAGGATCCTGTGCGCAAGCCCGGGTCAATGCGCACCAGGCTCCGCAGGATCCTGCAAGATCCGGCGCTCTGGCTGACCCCCGTTTGCACGGATCCCCGTCTCCTACCGCTGGGCCCGGTGGTTTTCGGGCCATAACTCTGCTCTCCCGCGGCCGTCAGGACGACCGGGGCACCCTGGGAACGCTGTCGTTGAGGCGCAGCCGCTGGGAAGCATCCCGAGACCAGAAAAACGCCTAGAGCCGACGAAAGCCCCCGAAGCCCTTGAACTTCGGCGCAATGGCTGACCCAATTTTCATTGCCCCCCGTCTCTTACCACTCGACCTCTACTCCTCACCTCCTTCCACGCCCCCTGCTCGAGAATTCGAGCCGCCGTGGTCGAAGTCGTCGTCGTCGTCGTCGTGGTCGTCGACGTCGTCGACACGTCGTTGTAGCCGCCGTTGCCGCCGCCGCCGTCGTCGTTTCCGTCTCAGCCGTCTTCGTCGTCGTCGTCGTCGCCGCCGCCGCCGTCGTCGTCGTCGTCGCTGCCGCCGACGCCGCCACAGTCGTCGTCGTGGACGTCGTCGACGTCGTCGGCGCCGTCGTCGTCGTCGTCGTGGTCGTCGCCGCCGTCGCCGACGCCGTCGTCATCATCATCGCCGTCGTCGCCGATGTCACCACAGTGGTCGCAGTCGTCGTCGTCGTCGCCGTCGTCGCCGCCGTCGCCGTCGCCGCCGCCGCCGTCGTCAGCGTCGCCGCCGCCGCCGCAGACGTCGTCCGTCGTCGTCGCCGTCGCCATCGCCGTCGTCAGTGTCGTCATCGTCGCCGCCGTCGTCGCCGTCGTCGACCGTGTCGCTGTCGTCGTCGTCGTCGCCGTCGTCGTCGTCGCCGCCATCGTGGTCGTCGTCGCCAGCGTCAACGCCGCCGTTGTCGTCGTCGTCGTCGTCGTCGTCGTCACAACCACTGTCGTCGTCAATGTCGCAAACGCCGTCGCTGTCGTCGTCGTCGTCGTCAAGTCCGTCTATCACCGTCGTCGTCCACGTCGTCGCCGCCGCCGCTGTCACCGTCGCCGTCGTCGTCGTCTTCGTCGCCGTCGCAGTCATCGTCGTCATCGTCGCCGTTACCGACGCCGCAGTCGAGGTCCTTGACGGTTTCGCCGTCGTCGTCGCCGTCGTCGTCGTCGCCGCCGTCGTCGTCGTCGCCGCCGTCGTCTTCGTCGTCGTCGTCGTCACCGCCGCCGCTGTCGTCGTTGCCGTCGCCGTCGTCGTCGTCGTCGTCGTCGTCGTCGTCGTCGTCGTCCTCGCAGTCGTCGTCGTCATCGCCGACGTCACCGTCGTCACCGTCGTCGTCGTCGCGCCGTCGCCGTCGTAACCGTCGTCGTCGCAGCCGTCGACGTCGCCGTCGTAACCGTCGTTGTCGCCGTTATCGCCGCCGTCGCCGTCGTTGTCGTCGCCGTCGCCGTCGTCGTCGCCGCCGTCGCCGTCGCCGCAGTCGTCGTCCTCGACGGATTCGCCGCCGCCGTCGCTGTCGTCGTCGTCGTCGTCGTCGCCGCCGCCGTCGTCGTCGTTGTCGTTGCCACCACGGCCGTCGTCGTCGTCGTCGTCGTCGTGGTGGTCGGCTTAGTCGCTGCCGCCGTCGTCGTCGTCGCCGTCGTCGCCATCCTGGTCGTCGTCGCCGTCGTCGACCTGGTCGTCGCAGTAGTCGTCGTCGTCCCGTGGGCTTCTCAAGCAAAAAGAGAACTATGATTTTACTTTGCCTCGGAAGCACGGGCGTGGACTCCATGATGTTATAGAGGATGGAGAGCACGAGAAGGAGGGGCTCCGAGAGGTAACATATATGTTTACAATGGAACCATCAATTCCCACAGCCGAAAACTTGTTGTAAGACTTTGAAATATCTCTGAGAGTCTCAGGCGATATAAAACCCAACGGCTCCTGGTACTCTATGGGCGTCTCATCGGGCTCCTCGTGAGTGCTCCCCCACAGATTGGCAAACTTCAGGGCCTCAGAGGCGAGTAAACTGCAGGGATCTGCCAAGACCTGACCGTGAGACGAAAGGGTAGTTGTTGGTTTCCAGGGAACCTGCTCCTTGGTCCAAGCATGCGCTCGTCTGCCTCCAACATCGATGCCGTCGAGCAGCCAAGCACGCCACGAACGTTGATCAGCAACTTTAGCCTGACCAGCATACTGCTCAAAAGACTTGATCCGGCTGACCTCTAGCTCCTCCAGATCGTCGAAACGCTTCTCCTGAAGGTCCTGGAACCCACATGAGCCCAAGACGGCCTGGATCTTCTGAAGTTCTTCCCCACAGTCCTGAACCTTGTCCTTGATTTTGTCAGGAGGAGCTACAATCGCCTGAATGTCCTGATAGTCTGAGCCAGCTGCGAGCACAGAACGAAGACTGCCAACTGCCTTGCAGAGCCAGCGGAAGCCTACGAGACCAGGCTGCCTGACCTCGCGCCTGTGCCGATCCGAGTCCAGCACGCTGACCCAGATGAGCTTGGGCGGCCTCCCTCGGAGGCCAGGTGACTGAAGCGGCTCGAATCTGGACGACGAAAGCTCCACCTCCGCAGCACCAGCCCAAACATGATACAATGTGTCTAAATGCCGTTGCACATCCGACCGTTTCGCACGCTTCTGAACGAGTTCCAGACCGTGGCGGGCGAAGTCCAGCACCACCTCTGCAGATGGGGGCTTACAGGCGGGCCCGATGGGAACCTCGACCTGGATCTTGGGGGTCTTCGCGAACGACAGGGCTTACAACGAAGCCACATCAGGATACAACTCGATGGTAGTAGGGTAATGCGTCTTAATGTCCGAACCGTGATCGACCGAGATCTTCGAGATAGCCTTGGTGAGACCCGAGGACACCACGAAGTAGTCATACATGCTAAGCTGGCCCCCAGATCCCAGACACGTTCCAGGAACACCAAGAAACATGATGTTAGAGGACAACTTCGAGGCAAACATATTGGACTTGAGCGTATCAGGCAGCATGTTGAAATCGGCGCCTCTCAAAAAGGGCAGGTCGGAGGTGTCGATCGCACTGCCCACGTCTGCGAGCAACTGAAGGTTGCGATCTGACAGCCCTTCAGAATGATGAAGCTAGAGACTGAGAAGTAGAACATGGCTGCCTCCTGGAACCTGCAAGCAACCCTGAATGGCCCTACCTGGGGCCAAAATCGAGCCACTTTCGGGAGCATGCAGATCCAGAGATTGACGAGCCAGGATGGCAACGCCTCCAGAGGCGCCACCCCCTGGGGCCGAGAGAGCGGGCGCAAAAAGCTCGTGCCAACCGTTGAAGAAGCCCATTTGGAAGCTTCCCCGAGAGATTCACTATCCCGTAGCCTGTGTTCTTGTACAAGGACCACATTCGACGAAGTAGACCCACGCCAGGACTTGATGGACGCCCAGGCTGCACAGTATCGACTGACAGTGCAAAATGTGGGGAGGCGGGCTTGGTTGGGGCGGCTAAAAACTTGTTGCCAAAACTTGGCCCTGGGGGCCTGAAAGCGACAAACGGCTTTCCCCCCTGCGCGCGCTCACTACTGCTGAGATTCGCTCGCAGGGGGGGTGACCCCTTGCTGGTCCAAACAGCGGGCACGCTCACGCACATCGACCTTACTCGGTGCCTTGGCGGGCTGCTGTTCTTCCTTGCTTGGGTCCTTCGCGGCGGAGGCTGAGGCGCCTCCAGGGCTGGGTTGGCCTCCAGCCGCCCCACCCTCGGCGGCAGGCGGCGCGGGCTCAGGCGGGCCTCCTCCAAGGGGTACTCCAGCTTCACCAGCAGGCCCTCCGACCTTCCGCTTCTTCTGGAGCCTCTCGAGGTGGGCCGTGAGGAAAAAGGGAGGAGGAGGAGGAGGAGGAGGAGGAGGAGGAGGAGGAGGGAGCAGGACGAGGAGGAGGAGGAGGAGGAGGAAGCAGGACGAGGAGGTCGAGGAGGGAGGAGGAGGTCCCGAATCGGTCCAGCGAGCCAGGCGCCCCTCGTGGCCCGAGCGCGGGGTGCGTGTGGCCCTCGGCGGAGCCAGGGCCGGGGCGAGGGGCGTGCGGAGGAGCGGAGGGTGGCGAGGCGGTGGAGGGGGGCGAGGATCAGGGGGAGGGGGAGGGGGAGGGGAGGAGGATGAGGAGGAGGGGGAGGATGAGGATGAGGAGGAGGGGGGCAATGAAGAGGAGGAGGATGAGTCCGAGGGAGGGGAGGGGGCGGAAGGGAAGGGCACGACGAGGAGGAGGCCGAGGGGAAGGAGCACGTAGGACTAGGAGGGAGAGGACGGCGACGAGCGGAGGAGGAGGGGATGTTGGACTAAGAGGAGGAGGAGGAGGAGGAGGAGGAGGAAGAGGAGGAAGAGGAGGAATAATAATATTAATAATAATAATACTGATGATAATAATGATAATAATAATAATAATAGTAATAATAATAGTAATATAATAATAATAATAATAATAATAATAATAATAATAATAATAATAATAATAATAATAATAATAATAATAATAATAATAATAATAATAATAATAATAATAATAATACTGCTAATAATAATAATAATAATAATAATAATAATGATACTACTACTACTACTACTACTACTACTAATAATAATAATGCTAATAATAATAACAATAATAATACTAATAATACTAGTAATAATAAGAAGAATAATAATAAGAAGAAGAAGAAGAAGAGGAAGCAGAAGCAGAAGAAGAAGAAGAGGAGGAGGAGGAGGAGGAGGAGAAGGAGGGGGAGCATGAAGAGGAGGAGGAGAAGGGGGATAATGAAGAGGAGGAGGAGTCCGAAGGGGAGGAGGAGGGAGGACGAAGGCGATGACGGAAAGGGAAGGCCGGAGGAGGAGGTGGAGGATGATGATGAGGAGGAGAAGGAGGAGGAAGAGGAGGAAGAGGAGGAGGAGGAGGACGACGACGACGGCGAGGACAAGGACAATGTGACAAGGACGACAATCATGGTTGAGGAGGGGTCCATGCAGGCGCCACGCGCCTACCCCGACATCAACGTCATGCAAATCACAGCTGGAGCTCGTAGGCCCCATCCTTCTACGTTCTTCCCCAAGCCACAGCGATGATGACCCGGTCGCGTGGGGCAAAAGATTGCCGGGTCCCGTGTTTCTCCTCCTCTCGCGGGGCCTGCTGCGGACGCGGCCGCGCTCCCAGCTCCGCGCCGTGTCCGCGGGGCAGTCCGGGCCCGTCCAGAGGGCCTCCGGAGGCCACCCAGAAGGCCCTCGGAGGGCATTCGGAGGGCCTTGGGAGGCCCTCGCTGGGCGGGTCGCCGCGGCCGTCGCCGCCGCCGTCGTCGCCGCCGTCGCCCTCGAGAGCTCAGTCCGCCAGCGGCGGAGGCGGCGCGTTCGCGCGCGCCCGGCGGCGCGGGCGGGGGCAGGCCAACGCCCTGGCGGACAGGTTGATGGCCGGAACTGTGTGGGTCCCGCGAGGGATTCGGGCCGGACGACAGGGCGGATTGGGAAAGGGGGGGGAGGGTACGAAGTTTGCTGCATGCAGCTGGTTTCGGCCCCACCGAGGGGCCCATTCCTCGATGCATAGCCGCCTCCGGCGCCGGGAGGCGCCGGGAGAACCAGCTACGTGAGCTGATTCTCCCCCCCCCCTTTGCTATCCCCCCCTTTCGCCTGACCCGAGGGATGGGGAGAGGGGCGCGCGCTCGTACCGCAGGGCAAGGGGGGGGGAGGGGGAGGCAAGGAGGGGGAGGAGGTACAAGAAGACAAAGGGCGCCTGGGGTGTCCGATGGTCCCTGCTACCTGTGAGGGTGAGAGGGGAGGATGAGGATGAGGAGGATGATGATGATGAGGAGGAGGAGGAGAATCAGTAGAAGGGGGAGGAGGATGAGGAGAAGGAGGACGAGAAGGAGGAGGAGGAGGAGGGGGAGGGGGAGTAGGAGGAGGAAGGCGCGGGGGAGGATGAAGACGAGGAGCAGCGGCGGCATCAGCAGGAGGGTGAGCAGGAGTGCGAGGAAGGTGAGAGATGAGCAGCAACAGGATCAGCAGAAGCAGGAGGAGAGAAGACAGAGAAATGGAGGAGGAGGAGGCGGAGGAGGAGGAGCAGGAGAAGGAGCAGAGGGCGGGGGTAGGGGAAATGTGGAGGAACGAGAATGAGGGAAGGTAGTGGGGTTGGAAAGAAGAGGGACGGGGTCGGGGGAGAATTGTGCCTTCCAGCGCAAACACCATCACCATCACCATCATGACTCAAATTAGAAGAGGGTGCCTCGCACTCGTAGACCACTCTATGGGTGGTAAGGGGGTTTGGGAGGGGATGGACGCAGCTCTCGATTTGCGAATAGCCTCCGATCGTACTCGCAATCCCCCAATAGATCGACCTCGTGATCTACCGAACACATTATCTAACCGCCGATCTCAGTATACATAGCTATACTGATACAGATAGACTGATGTGTCGGTATCCTTGTCCAGCTATCGATAGTACGACCAATCGATCGACCTCAATGTATCCCGACCAGTCTCTGATACATCAGTTTCAAGTCGTACCCATTGGTACCCATGCCATCAGATTGGTATATGTGTTTCTCCACACACATATATATAGACGTTGTGTCGGTGCATTGGCGTGTTTTTATATTGGCAGTTGAGTTTTTTCCCCAACCCTCCTGCGTTGGGTTCTCGTTTTGAATAGAACACTGCTCGCGCGAACCTTCCTTCCCGTCCCTCTCTCCCCCCCCTGCCTTTTACCTGGCTCGTCGCTGCGTTTCGAGGGCTGCTGGGGGCTGCGATCTGTGAAACTGCCGCCAGTTTCGAGGGCTGCTGGGGGCCCAGCACAGTGGGTACCCACGGCGGATTCAAATGGGACCTCGCCATCCCTGGGGGGCTGCGATCTGTGAAACTGTCGCCACTTTCGAGGCCTGCTGGGGGGCCCAGCACAGTGGGTACCCACGGCAGATCAAATGGGACCTCGCCATCCCTGGGGGGCTGCGATCTGTGAAACTGTCGCCACTTTCGAGGCCTGCTGGGGGGCCCAGCACAGTGGGTACCCACGGCGGATTCAAATGGGACCTCGCCATCCCTGGGGGGCTGCGATCTGTGAAACTGTCGCCACTTTCGAGGGCTGCTGGGGGGCCCAGCACAGTGGGCACCCACGGCGGATTCAAATGGGACCTCGCCATCCCTGGGGGGCTGCGATCTGTGAAACTGTCGCCACTTTCGAGGCTGCTGGGGGGCCCAGCACAGTGGCCCACGGCGGATTCAAATGGGACCTCGCCATCCCTGGGGGGCTGCGATCTGTGAAACTGTCGCCACTTTCGAGGCCTGCTGGGGGGCCCAGCACAGTGGGCACCCACGGCGGATTCAAGTTAGACCTCGCCATCCCTGGGGGGCTGCGATCTGTGAAACTGTCGCCACTTTCTTACCTCGCTCGTCGCTGCGTTTCGAGGGCTGCTGGGGGCTGCGATATGTGAAACTGTCGCCACTTTCGAGGGCTGCTGAGGGGCCCAGCACAGTGGGTACCCACGGCGGATTCAAATGGGACCTCGCCATCCCTGGGGGGCTGCGATCTGTGAAACTGTCGCCACTTTCGAGGGCTGCTGAGGGGCCCAACACAGTGGGTACTCACCGCAGACTCAAATGGGACCTCGCCATCCCTGGGGGGCTGCGATCTGTGAAACTGTCGCCCCTTTCGAGGCTGCTGGGGGGCCCAGCACAGTGGGT